TTTCCGTCTGTCTTTTTTTTTTTTCTTTTCTTTTCTTTTCTTTTCTTTTTTTTTTTTTCGTATGACGAATATTAAAGGGGACTTACTTCAATGCTTTGTAACGTTCTTTCTCTGGATTGTTGTCTGGTGGTTCGCACTCGAACGATGCCAAAGCTAGAGCTATATTGTAAAAAGAAATCAAATTATGAAATAATGAGTTTTAACAAAGGTCACAGGATGGATGAAAATTAAATTTCTTAATGGCAATAATTTCTTTGCAACGAAAGAAAGTGGTTATGGTTCTATTCTAATTTATTAATATCGATTATGAAGTTATTGAAGATAAAATTGTAATCTCCTTTTTAAATGTTATTCTATTTTTCATCGATTAATTTTCGATTCAGTAATATTCTTAGCATTTCTTTTTTTTAATATTAAGAATTAAAAGTAACTTACCATTTTCAGTCCACACCGGTCTCGCCTGAAGAAAAGCAATGACACGTGGATTCTTCTCGAATGGACAGGCAACTTGCTTCCAAGCGATGAACTCCGTAACCTGTTTCGCCAGCTGCCAGAATTTTTCAAAGTTAATATGTCCGTTTGGCAACCTGTAACAGTAATTTCGCAAAAGAATTAATTTTTTATTTTTCAAAAGATATTTTCATTATTTTATTTGAGTTTGCATAAAGATTGACTGAAATCAATTCAAAATTTTCACAGAAATGTCTCAGATGCTTGTCTTCTCAAAATGAAAATTTTATAGACAATAATTTCTATTTATCATTATTTTTCTATTTTACAGAACCTGTCTCATCTCTCTTTAATCACACACGATATTCATATTAATGGTTCGAATTAAAATTAAATTTCATCCCTCCCATCAATTTAATCAATTTAAATTCCTCTACAACTATCGAAAGTTTCAACGTCAAGCGTTTCATCAATGTTTCACCATCGGTTAAGAATATTCTCGTCAAAGTATCGTGGATCGATATCAGCAACATCCTTTAACGAGCACGTTACTGTTTACGCTGTGTCAGCCATTCCTCGTGGAATAACGACCGCCTGTTATTTTGTTAAATTAATTTCGGATAATCCTGATAGCATTAGCCTAAACGAGAGACGCGGTGATAAGTTAATGGTTACCTCCATAAATTTCGAGCTAAGAACGTATCGATCAATCTTCTGTTTGATATAAGTTATGATTAATTAATTTCGATTTGATCTCCTTTGTGATCGACACTTCATTTGATAAAAATTTTTAAGCGAAATTTAAATAAATTATCGAAATATCGGTTAAAAAAGTGACGTGAAATGAAACAGTGGAAGAGAAAGGATATTTTGTGAAGAGAGAAGTTAAATAAATTAGAGAAGAAAAGTTAATTGTATCGTATGTTTTAGATTGTGTTTCAATTATTTAACTTGTAAGAGAATCGGTACGTGTATCTCGATTGTGAGAAGTTAATATTGAAATTGGATATTTTATCTAAAAGGAAAGTTGATGGGAAGAGTTGTAATTTCAAGAAGTGGGTTCAAAAGTGGTCAGCTCGCAAGGAAAGTCTCAAAAAGTTTCAGAGTAGTCTCTTCAAGTTTTATGTACTCTTTGAGAGCAATATGATTTTACGTGCAAACAATCTTGAAACTTGTTAAGATCCATCTTAGAAGAAAGAAGAATCAAAAGAAAGTAGAAAGGTTCTTAAAACAAATCGCAATGAAAAAATAACGAATCAAAATCGTTTTTGTATGAATAAAACGATCTTAACTATTATTATTCAAAAAATTAATATATAAAATAAACAGATCATCACACTTTCAAAATTATAACCATATATAATTTTTATATCATGATTATCTTTCTCGTTATAACATAAAAATTATCAACTCCTCTCGCATCCAACATAATTTAAATTTAATTCAAACTCTTATACACTAATATTAAATTTAAATTTAAGTTTCACAAAGAAGAATCCGAACCGAAAGAAACTCAATCCCTTCTCAAATCACATTCACTACAAATCTTCGAATACTCGCAATCGTCGTTTCCCAACAAAATTCCCAATTCCAAAAGAACTTTCAAGACCTCATCAGCCATCCACTTTTTCTCTCAACTCTTGGATTTTCTTCTTCTTCTTCTTCTTCTTCTTCCTCTCTTTCTTCAAAAAAAAAAAAAAAAGAAAAAATGTAATGTAATTTTTTCACCGTTCTCCAGAGCCGAGTTTCCCTCCTGTAACTAGCTACTGTAACTGAACGATACAACTCGCACGAGAAGAACACACGTATACACGCGCGAAAGCGGCGTGTTAAAATTACGAGTCGAAGTTGGGGCAATTTATCGTTGGGTCGGAAGCGTACGAATTCGTCCGCTTCCGGTTGCGCGACGCTCTGTCGCACGTAACAGACATTTACATACGCGCAACCATTCGTCTTTCAACCTCCCCCTCCCCCTCCCCTCCTCTCCCTTTGGACGCCTGTCGATCGGTCAATATCCATCTGCCCTCGAGAAACCTATCTTTCCTCGCGATTCCTTTCCATCCGCCTCCTCCCACCCGTGTCGTGGATCGAAATTCTATTAGAGATTCGATTCACGGACGGCCCAAAGAAGGATAATTGTCGGGAAGGAGGGCCCCTTCTCCCTTATTAAAGACCCACGTCGAACGTATTGGAATGTATCGTGACGCTTTCTAAGGAAATTGATACTTTAACGTTATTCGGTTTACCGAGGAATGGACGGTTTATTGGAATGCTCGTGTTAAGGGGTTGTGGATAGTGTTCATAATGGAATTGTTTGAGGAGCGAGAGGGTCGAGAGGGTAGAGGTAATTTTTTTGGAAGGTATTGGTGAGATTTATTCTAGGGGAGGAGAGAATAAGATAATTCGTTTTTTTTTTTTGAAATTTTGACATTGTATGATTATTTATTGACGAGGTTTTTTTGTGCTGAAAGAATTATTTTTCATGTATTTATAGAATATAATTTCATTTTTATTAATATATGATTTTTTTTAATCAGTTTTATCTGATTGTATCTGATCTGTTGTATAATGCATATGTAAAATCTTGAAACGACTATTATTTATGATATTTTTATGAGTTTTATTATATATGTATTATTCTAATTCGTTTTTAACTTATGAGTTTCCATAAAAATTTCCATTTTTCATAACATAAACAATCAACGATTCGACCTATACATCAAATTAATCCATTTTTTATCTATTCATTTCAATGATCGTTGCACAATTTAATATAAAACGCCAATAAAATTCACTATACCAAAAATCAAACACACGGTGGATTGCAATAACATTAGATCTCTTTCCTCAAACAATTCTCAAAATAAAATAGAAATCAATCGTCCATAAATCGAAGGAAGAAATAACCTAACACACGTCCTTTTCAAACCCTCTTTACAATACCCATCCCCCTTCATCTCGTAGTCAATATCGACCTCTGTTCTCGATTCACGTATTATGCGAACGGCACGTAATACCCGGACATTTATCTACAGTCGGTATACATGCATCCTGGAGCAATTTGTACCCACGTGTCTCTATACGCCGATTCGTTCCACTGCAATTCAGTGAAACGTTCTCGCGATATTCAGACGTTGCTCTATCTCGCATTTTACGCGACTACATTCTTCCTGCATAAAACGGTACATAACCCATTTCGGGGATAATATACGCCATTGTGATACTCGTATGTGGATATATAATGATGGACAGAAATAGGGGATTATAATTTTTTCGTACTTATGTACTAAAATCTTGCGATAACGTATTGATTTGAAATTTTGTAATCTAATTAAAAGAATGGTGAATATTTTTTTTTAGAATTTCTTATTTTATTTGTTTTATATTTAATTTTTTTTTGATGAAATTATTTTATGAATCGATTTTTATTTATAAAGAATCGGATTGTTAATATAAATGAGATACAGATACAGATACACATTGAAGTAATTGTTTATTACAATTGACTTATTATAAAAACAATTAATTTTTTAGTTTATAAATAACTAATATTCTAACTAATGTTAGAAGATTTTTTATTACTGAAAATCTCGTGAAATATTACTACTTACTTTGAAATTTTAATGCTTTCCATTATATTATTGTAATGAAAAATATTACATGCAACAAAACTGTTGCTACGTGAAGAAAACAAGCAGTATAAAAAAAAGAAATACATTATTGCAATGCAGAATGGGGTATTTCGCACAGAAAGAAGAAAAATAAAAATTCTATTTAAAAGATATATACTTTTCCTTCCTTTATTAATTCTACCAGTGAAATATTTCATGTGTAAACTAGGTAAGTGAAAAGAATTTCATTTCAAATTTTATTTCTGAATATCAAATTTAATGCAACGACAAAAAAAAATGGTGTAATTGTGATATTCTTCTATTGTAATCTTATCTACTAATTGCAGCACTTTCTTAAGAAAATATCATTCAAATTCAAAAAATTAATTTTGAGAGAAAGAAACTTGTATCAACACAGAAGAAAAATCTACTTTAGGCGATAATTTCTAATTTCTGTGTCAAGATATATGCGAAAGTATCACACACAGTTACTCTGTAAATATCATCTCGTATATGCACTACGTATATCCACATCTAGAGGAGGCATCCCTAATAGAAATTTTTTTTCTAATGAAACTTCTTGCGGCGAAGCACGAGCCAAGGTTTCATTTTACCCAGCAATCATATGTGTAATGAGTTTTTCGAACGAAAAAAACCTTCTCGGTCACTCGTCATTGTAATGATTAATCAGAGCTGACCTATAAACCGTTGACTGAGATTATTAGACTTTTTTTTTTACGAAAAAATCTACGATTATGCGTGATTGAGTCTGTTTTTGAAAAAATGGAAAAATTATTGGAAATTTCGTTCTATTAATTTTTCATCGTTGTATATATTGTATATTTCGATTCGTTCATTTTATTTTTATGAAACATTATATTTTGATTGCATTTAAAATTGAAGAAAAATTAAAGTTTAAAATCGAAGTTCAAATTCGAGTATTTATATTTTAATAATTTATAATTTGACTTTTCAATAATTATCATCACATATATAAAATTTGTGTCGTAAACAATTATCAAAAAATTGATAGAAATGTATTAAGTAATAAAAATGAACAATTACCATACTTTTACGTAAAATAAAATCTTTAAGTAGTATAAGTCAATGATTGATCAGTAACGAGAATCCTTTGAATAATTTCCACATCTTTTTCACTCCAATTCCATTTATATATGTACAAATTCACCAAAGCAATTATAATAACTCAAAAATATTAACGAAAAATAATTCACGAGTATTTTTTTAATAGAAAAGATTAGATCAAGAAAGGAAAGGGTTTCGTTCCCTTCCTTTTTTCCTCAGCTCGTTTTCTTTTCTCGTTTTCTTTTCAACAAGTTCGGCTTCGAGCTGCGAGAATACAACTTTTGCTATTACAAGTTTAATAAGTTTACAGCTGGGGCTGTAAGGAATGACATTGGAGGGGGGAATTTTTTTGCGCGCAGGAAGGACGAAGAAAATGGTACGACACATTCATCGTCGTCGCCGACAAAAACGAGCTTCCTGTCAATGTATCGCTTCCACGAGAACAAAATTATCGAAACTTCAAACTCGAAAGTTTCACGGATAACCCAATAGGAAATAGACGATCGCGTTTCACCCAAGGACTAACATTCCGTGTCAACCGACTTAAATTACTTTATTAATATTTTCCCTTGAATTTGCACGGTGGCTTTTCTTGTTTGTGGAAATTATGCTAAGAGATCATTGCCAAGACTGAACAAATTGTGATTTACTGAATTTAAGTTTTAGGTTTGTCAATTTTGTGAGCATTAAGAAGATATTAGTATTTTAAAGAAATCTTTTTCTTGATTAAATTTTAGAATTACTTTCGTAGTATTATCAGTAGAAGATTGATACTAAAAGAATTATGTAATATTATTAATTTGGAATCTTAATGAATCTAATGAATATTAAATTTTATTAAAAAAAAATTAATTTCCACAAAAAGCTTTCAGATTAAGCACAAGGAAATAATTGATCGAAAAATGATTCAACGAAATCCATTTACTTGTATTTGGTGTAAGCTTCACGGAGAAGAGTGAAGAAAAACACAAATTCGCAAGAAAGAGCGCGAAGAGCGAAGATAACATTGTCGATTACGTTTCGAGATAATAAATGGTAATTACTCAAGGAAGTAATCATAAATCTGGAAGATTTTTATCAGAGATTTCCTCTTCCTGGTTTTAAATGATTAACGCGGGAGAAAGAGAAATGGGGATAGAGAGACAGAGAGCGGGCTGTTTTTGTACTCACTTGTTGCTGCATCCCTCGTTCAGGAAGTAGAGATCCTTGACCAGCAAACTGAAGAAGGGAACGACGATCCTCTGTCGTTCGTCCGTAGCGCCGGCGCTACGCCACATAGCCGCTTTCAGGGTGCTGCGATAGCTGCTAAAGTTGCTGCTGGGATCCATTTGGTGCTCAAGAATCGAGAATTTCGCCAGTTGCACCTTTGACCACTGTAACAGAAAATAATTTCGCGTATCTGTTAACAGGAAGGTCTCTTGTTAAGCTGTTTAGTGTTAAGTTGTAACAAGACCGAGAATCTCTATACGCATCGGTAAATTCTCTGGTCTTGTAAATTTTGTACGTAATTTCCCTTTTCCTCCTTCGTATTTTCGAATTCGAATTGAACGTTGAAGCTAGAAATTGTATGTATTGTGAATATTGGAAACGTACAACGCATCAATGATACATTAATTTTAATAATAATTTGCTGTATAATAATAAAATAGAAATATTATTGAAACAGTGTGTGAATAATTTATATAAAATCATATATATATAATTAATTAATAATTCGTTAATAATTTTTATTCATTTAAGTTATTATTTGCTTTTATTTTTATTCTTCTTACTTTCTTCGATTATTAATTCAATTTGATTAAAAAGCGAAACAAGTAATGATAAAACAAAGCAAATATAATAAGATAATAAATCGATCATAGTCAAGTGAAATAAACCAGTTATAATCAGAAAAATCCAATCATAATAATCAACAAAACATTTATGATCAGACGAGTATGAAAAGACTATCATGATACATCCAGATATATTTCACTTAGAAGATTCAGAAATCGAATATCTATTTTAACCAAAATCTTCTCGTCTTATATGATAAACTTAATGAATAAATAAATATAAAAATTAATCAAGAAACAATGAGGAAATTCGCAGACAAAAAAGAATCAATCAAATTTTGTAACTGATTCGTTCTCACGTTGTTCGATCTTCACTGTTTATTTTTTTCGAACCATTCCTTTTTTTAAACGTGCACGATATGGCGTGTACACGCGAGACAGATGGAAACACGAACAGGAACGTGTTCACGACAGACAATAAGTGCATCTGACTCGACCGTCTGGATACAATGCAATCGAACTGATCCCATTCCCTTCAAACCGATACCCTTCATTCCTATATATCGAATTCTATCCACCGTTTGCACGCTCAAATAGTTACCTTCGCTTTCTGACCCCGCTGCCTCCCTTTGTTCCTTCCCTTATCCCTTTGATTTCTACCCGCGCCATACACCCCTCATCCCTCTTCTTTCTGCATCTCTTGCATGCATTTGACCCACTCTCGTCCTTTTCATTCCTTCTTACGATCTTCCCCTTTCCATTTCCTTTCCATCTTCCCCTTTAATTCTCTAACATCTTCCTCAGCTTTTTCTCAATTTGTTCGCCCTTTTTCAACCTCGTTACTTTTATCTTATTCCTTAAATTCGCTCAGTTTTCAATCTGATATTTTCTGATGATTCCAATTCGAATGCAATACTTATCCCTTTGTTTCCCTTTACGATTTCGATTTTACATTGAATTAATCGCGAATCTGTGCGTGAAAATGTTTCCTTTTTTTTTTTTTTTGAAAGCGAACCGTAAATTCGTACATTCCGATTTTATTTTCGATTACATTTGTATAAAGATTTATTGTTTACAAAGAAATTAGATTTTTCTTTGCGAGTTGATTGCGAGATAATTGAATAATTTTAAGTTGTAATAAGTTTTATATTTTTAATTAAAATGTTGATTAATATATAACGTGTAATGAAATTAAATTAATTAGTATAAATATCAAGTAATTATTATTATGTAATTAATAGAAAGATAATAAATAATAGTAAATTTAATTTTTACAAATTTAACTAACAAAACTAAAACGTTTCCATCGCGATTTTTAATCAAAACAGGTTTTTATACAGGTAGTTTATAGGAAAAAATTCTGGAAAAAATATTTTTGATTGACAAACTAATTTTTCAGGAACAAAGAATTATATTTACTGCGGTATACGTAATATTTTTTTTTTTTTTTCAAAGCATGAAAGATTTCATGTTTATTACATCGAAATATAAATTATAGAATGAAAAAAAGAAAAAAAATCGCGATGTGCACAATAACGGGAAAGGCGAGCACAAAAACAATCAATTGGATTTCCATTTAAAGAGAACGAATTAAACCGTGGCATTACTATCGGGCACGAAACGAGTAAACCAGGATAATTAATTTTACGCTTGAATATAAATATTCGAAAACGCAAACGTGTCAAACATTCTATAAAATTCTATTATCTTTAAATGAAAAAAAAAAAATCGAATCGAATGCTCGTACATCTAAAAACGATAAATTGCAGGAATTCCTCGAATTTTGGTGGAGCGGAAGACCCTAATTACATTCGTTAAAAGATAAATCACAGATTTTAAAACGATAAATTTCAATTCGACGATGATATTTGTTACGATTGCATGATGACAACATCACATTTCTTTCGATTAATATTTTTATTTATAAATATTGATAAATGATCTTTCGAAAGAATACTAGATTTATCAAGATAATTTCATAAGTAGTAATAAAGTGATTTTTGAATACTTTGAATATTAATATTATCATTATCATTCATTATTACAACAATTTCAAATTCATATTTACTCGATTCTTCAAATCAATTAATTATCTTCTAAAAAAAATCCAAATTAATTGCACTTTTATCAATAAAAGCTAAAAATAAAAATAAAAATACTAAATAATTTTTTATTTCATATTTATCAACTCGTGAAAAAACGCAGAGTATCACCGTTCTCGCTAATCAAATCATCTAAAATCGAGTGGAACTGAAAGACCTAATTGACGGTTAAAACGATGCTCGCCCTGAAACTCACGCTTGCTCGAATTAATTTATCGAAAACTATTTCACCCTCGTTGTACATCGGCTACACGTTAATTCGTATTAATTAAACCGAATTTTCGTTCAAGTTTTTGGATGGCCAATTAAACAGGCTTGTGTCGATTTAATAGGATCGTCACTATACAGTAATACGAAGTGTGTGGTTTTTGTTACATTTCGTTCTCTTTTTCTTATACATCCGTTTACATTTATTAATCTTCAATTGATATATCATTTGATTATAGCAATTTTAGTTTTATTAGAAATTATTTGACTCTTTATTGTATAAATTGAGAATTCTAATATATTTTATTATGTATTATTTAATAAAGTCATACTTAAGTCATATTTAAAAGTTAAATATGATTTAAAATTTATTGAAAAAATGTATCACGGTATGAAGGTGAAAATAGTTGAAAAGATTCGTACAATATTTGGATTATAAATATGAAAAGTATTAGTTTACTGTATTTTCCCCCCTTTTTTTAAATTTGAGGATATTTAAAAATTTTAAAATTTGTAATATTTATTGTTTTATTAATAGAAGTTTTTATCAGTTTGGAACACAGCGAAACGAGAAACTAATTGTAGAGATATTTGTGATGAATTTCAGAATAAACAAAATTTGAAATATGAATACATCCATTTGTATAATATTTCGTATAAAAATCAAAACGCATTGAATTCCAATTATTTCTCAAAAATAACCACGAATAATTTCTCTGTACTGATCTCGTGACAATGATTTTTCAATTGTATTCCTACCTATTTTTTAAACCATATCAAAAAAAAACCCATCCTTCCATCAATATAATACCCAAGAATTATTAACCAAGAGATGATAACCTACATCGAAGATATCCCTCGAATAAAACCAAGAAATCTTCCATCCTCGGCAAATGCAAATGCTCCTTCTGGATCTTCGCGTGAAAGAATAGTCTCATCCGGTTGGAGGACTGAAATTCTTCAAAGATCGAGCATTTCACCATGTGCGTGAATCCAGCACACACACACACACACACACACACACACACATACACATACACACACACACAGAGGAACGAGAAAGGGTTTCTCTGCTCGCCCCGAGGAGCCATTTTTCTCAGCCGCGCGACTCGATTCGATTTCAGCCGGGAAATGCTCGAGGAAAAAAACATCGGAGAATCGGAAGACTCCTGGTGGATCCGGTAAATTGAAACTGGAAAACCTGGAGAAGATGGAAGGATGGGAATCTGCTGGAAGGATTCTTTCCCGCGAGAAAAGCGGCAAAGAAAGCCTCTCGAAACCGGGAATTCTAATTAGACAAAGCTGTGGCCGGTACATGGCGCCACCTGGCCGCGTGATTCTGAAACTATTTCCCACGATTTTTTCTCTCGCTCAGAATCGGAAACGATAGCGTGTCGCGCGAAACGAGGGTGTAAAGAGGGACGAGATAGGGATGGAAAA